ATTAGACTGAGGTGAACATACCAAACAACAGTCTGTGTTCAGCCAGTAGGAATAATAAAAGATTGTCAAAGAATTATACCTGAACAGACAGCAGCACCTTCTGTTGCTTTTAGTTTGCCGTTACCCCTTTTGTTGCTTTTGCTGTTATGGCTGATATTGCTGTTTTGCTGCTGTTGCTACCACTTAGTGACGGTGTGCCTTTAGTTACTAAATATATATTTGGCTATTTATTGGCTTATAATTCTTTAGTAAGTCTTTAACAACTTTAATAAAAAAATTATTTATATTTTTATCACAAAGACTTGTAAATTTATAGCAGAATAACGGTAAAAAAAAAAAAACAAGAAAAAACCTATTAATCTCAGTGTTCTCATCAGTTACTAGAAGCAGTAGTAAATTTGCTGCATTTAAATTGAGCGGATAAGTCACTATATTTAGCGCTGTTAAGACAGTAGGAACGAAAGCAACAACGAAATTGTCAACGCCTGTTACATTTTCACAAAGCATCATTCAACTATCAACGTTTAACTATTGTCGTTATTGAATAAAAAAAAAAAAAACGTAAGAAAATTGAATTTATAGATAACCAAATTTCACTGCATTTGGTAACGCTTGAAAAAAATATATAAACGATACTGGAAGTTTAATCCCCCTTCCTGTCTTTTTACCAACAAATATGATAGTGATTATCAGGCATTTAAAGAAAGAAAAACATATATACATCAATTTATGTCAAAAATAAACCAAAACAAAAAATGGTTTTTTTTTTTTTTTTTTTTTTTTGAACCTAATTTGATTAACCTCTCTGTTCAACTATACTAAAAATAATGCATAAAAATATATTCGCTGCAGTTAAATCGATGTAGGCAAACGAAAAAAAAAAGGCAAAACAAAAGGAGACAACGGCAAATTAAAAAATTCGATTATTTACGACAACGACGACAACGATGAAAAGTACTAAGAACTTTGAATATCAGAATTGAATTCAAAGTGAACAAAATGTCGATGTTAAATAATAAATTAGACCAAAACTTAAGGTTGCTTTGTTTTGAAAATTGCAAACAATTAACAGCAGTTTTTTTTTTTTTTTTTTGGCACCATCACCAATCGGCATTTCACATGTCGTCGTCGTCGTTCTTTGAACATTTAAGAAAAAGCAGAATAGAAAGCAAAAATTATTTAGCTATATATTCGAACTGGCAACTGCTCATTCAATTCTCTATGAACTGTATTCAGATTCATCATCAAATGTTGCAAGTTATTTGCAACTAAGTTACATATTGATAGCTGACAAACCCAACAACAGTAACGAAGTTTAGATAACGACTTTATAAAAAGCTTTAAAAAAGCTGAAACAAACAGATAAAAATAAAAAAAAAAATTCACTCTTATTTAAGTTTTTTTTCAGTATTTAGTTTCTAAAAGTTCAATGCGACAAAAATTTATAGATTTTCAAAGATTCACTTCGCCTAAAAAACTGTGTCGATCATTTCCAGCCTTTTCAAATCATCAACTTTGAATAACGTTTCATAAATTATAATTTGTAACTAGAAAAAAAGAAAGTAAAAAACAACAACAACAACAAAGAAATAATTCTCACATTTTTTTTTAAATTATTAATTAAAAATAAAATTTCAGCAAAGACAAAAAAAAAAGAAAGTAAGTTTTTAATAAAGTTCTTATAAGATACTATCTTGTTTTCTTGCTTGACTTGCTGTTATAAGAAAGAAGAAATTGTGGAAAAAAAAAAAACTGGAA